TGATCTGCATTTATTATGAAATGTGACGAAACATGTTGAATTCTACTCCAGTCACTGATGGAGTGCAGACTGATGTAATGCTTCGGTTTAAGGGAAAGCAGCAGAAGGACTGAGATACATATGTGCAGTGACCAGAAGTAAAAGGGACTTATGTAACCCAACTCTGAGATGCAGAGCAGATGCATTACTGCTCCATGGACAAATTCCCTAAAGACCTTTTCAGTTCTCCATGCCACCGAGTAGTGCTGTCAAACGATTAATCGTGATTAAATCACATCCAAAATAAAAGTTTTTGTTTACATAATCTATGTGTGTGTATTGTGTATATTTATTATGTATATATAAATACACACACATACAGCATATATTTAGAAAATATTTACATGTATATATTTATATTCATATAATTTAAATCATATATTTAATATATAAACGTAACATATTTTTCTTAAATATATACTTGAATGTGTGTGGATACATATGTGTATATATATATAAGCATAATAAATATACACAGTACACACACATATATATATTATGTAAACAAAATTGTTTATTTTGGATGCGATTAATCGTTTGACAGTACTACCACCGAGCAGACGGTGATGAATCGTCATTTACAAACAAGCAAACAAATATTGAAAAAACTCTGGTCACTGAAGGACCCATAAATACTTATTTTTTTAAAACACCCCCACCCCTCACCCACTCCAGCCACAAGCACACACAGTCAAAGGCATGTTAGTTCACCCTATTTAATATTAAGAACATTCTTTTCTGTACACACTAAAAATTGTCAAACATGTTTGCCGGTTTATCTGAACCAATTTATTTTATATAGACCAAAACCGTAATGCTATGACCAGTAGTAGTACTAATAAATACAATGTACATTTATAAATAATGAATTAATAATAATAATAATAAATTATAAACAAACATAAATGAACAATTGTAATACTTAAGTATTAATCAACAAATAGAGTTAAGAAATTATTATTATTCTATAATGTATAAATATAAATGAATTAATAATAAATAAAATATAAATAAACAAAATAACTATTACAATATTTAATAATAAAAATAAAATAGTAGTAGTAATTAATAAAAACTATTAAGAAATTATTCATTTTAATCTACATTTATAAATAATTAATAAATGACAATAATAAATAAAACAAGAAAACTAGTATAAGTATTAATTTATATATATATGTATAAATAATAATAATTATTATTATTATTATTTTATTTTTATTATATGTAACTTGCATAGTTTTAAGAGCCCTAGATGGTGTAAAACACTCAAATCCTTGCAGTATTCTTAGCATCTCTTTTGGGAAATTGCTGCCTGCATCCCTGCAAAACGTCTGAATTATTGAAGAAATCCACAGGACCTTAAAGCGACATGAGACATTCAGAGGCCCTTAGGCAGCAGAGAAGCCAAAGTAAAGAATGAATATTTCACTGAGCTCTGAAACCAGCATGAGTCAATCCCATCACCACTATGACAAGAAGAAAATTAGATAAACTTAGATTTTTTTTGTATGTGGGTGAGGATTTCAAAATCTGAAGCAAATATGATTATAGGCCTGTGTAGAAATTTACAGATGTGAGATGGAGGTGGTCAGCTATGCTCAGTTTGGCAGATGTCAGCATTCTTACATAACCCACCTTACATAAATGCTCAGTATTGTTCCTATTATGAGTCTTGAGACTTACTCATTAGGAGGGCCAGTTGATTAAAGCTGCTGCAATGGTGTTTCTGCTTCCTACATTGATCACATTAGAGGTGACATCTTTCAGAACACATTTAAGATTAGCCTGGCATTACAAAATAGTCTGTTGGAAGCCTTTTAATTGTACTGGTATACACACTGGAACTGCTTCATACAGGGTTATGAATATCATGCTGTGCATATTCTCATGTTTAGTGCAGAAAAATCTAACATTTTACTTACAACAAATAGAATACTAGTTTGACTATTATTTTTTAAAATGCATATGATTTATTGTGAGGACTTCTTGAATGTTTAAAACTCACCAGTAGCTTTACATAAATCTGTGGAGCTCTGCTGTTTAGCGCACCTCAAAATCTCTGTGGTTATTTGTGGTCCCATTTCAAAACCTTATTGACAAGTTTAATTCAGGTCCTTATGGAGAAGTGCTCATGAACAATATTGTGGCCTTGAAATGGAAACAGACTGTTTTTTTTTTTTGAGGAACTGAATCCACCACCTGTGTTGCAGTGCTGTGACATTTATTCAAACAAAGAAAGGAAAAAACACAGTAGCTCTAGTGGCTTATGGACATTAAACATGCGGACACTGCAGAGAAATGTTTGCAACTATAGGGCATTTACATCAGTATAGCACACTGCAAATTGGTGAGTTTTTTTCCCCCTTCTTTGACTGCAAGAAGCAGCTTGGCATATCTAGCATTCTCTCGTTCAGATTGTGAAAGAGTTTGATGTGATGCTTCTTACTAGATATCGATTTATATAGACACGCACGCACACACACACACACACACACACACACTTCCGTTCAAAAGTCAGGGGTTGGTACGATTTTTCTTTTTTTAATTATTCAACAAGGATGCATTAAATTGATTAAAACTGACAGTAATGACATTACAAACTATTTCTATTTCAAATAAATGCTCTTCTTTTGAACCTTCAATTCAAAGAATGACAAAAAAATATAAATTAAGCAGCACAACTGTTTTCAACATTGACAATAATAAATGTTTCTTAAGCATCAAATCAGCATATTAGAATGATTTCTGAAGGATTATGTGACACTGTAGACTGGAGTAATTGCTTCTGAAATTAAAATAATAAAATGTTTTAAAATACATTAAAATAGAAAACAGTTACTTTAATTGTAATAATATTTATAGATTACTGATGTGACAATTTTGCTTATTTTTTATCAAATAAAGAAGCACGAGACTTGTGTCAAAAAACATTTAAACTTTTGAATGGTAGTCACTGTAAAAAAATGACCGTGAATTTAACGGTAAAAGACTGTAAAAATGCTACAGTAAAAACCTGTTAAATGGTAAATGGTAAATTCCCCTACTATATACGGTGAAAAACTGTATTGGACATTACATGTATTGGACATTAATTTTACGGTAGTATACCGTTTTTGGAAGTGAAAAAGACCATATAATTTACAGTGAATAACCGTAAATGGACATTCCAAGAGTTACATTTCAAATTTGATGTTTTTTTTGTTGAAATAACTGTTTCTTCCTAGTTTTTTTTCTTATCAGTTTTGTATTTTAGGGTTGTGTGTTACACCTAATGTTGTTAAATTAATGTTTATTGCATTATTTCAGTTTCATATGCGTTACCATGATGGTGTTTGGTGTTTGTGTGAATGACACTGTGCACCTTCTATATATGTTATTGTTTAAAAGCTGCTTGTGATGGGCTTTGGTTCATCATGTGACTTTCTCATCACCACCTGCATTTGGTGGTTATCAGTGTATTACAAAGGTACAAATCAGATTTCAGTACTTCAATAGGTTGGTATATTAACATTATATCAGTTAATGAAATTATGGTATTTAACTGTAAATTTAAGTTAAAATGTAAAACGTTGCTACCGTATTTTTTACGGTAAAATTCCGGCAACCACAGCTGCCGTTTTGTTTACCGTAAATTTTACGGAATCTTTTTACAGTGTATATTTGGTCAGTGTATGAACTGCTATATGCTTCTTGTGTTTCTTTATGAATTTAAATGATAGAAATAACCTCTTTTTACACTTTAAAAAGAACTCGAATTATGCACCATTTCCTTTTTCTGTTTAATAATTGGAGCTTTCATCAAACAGAGGAATCATTCTCTGATTATGGGGAACATTCACATCAACTGTGGTCACCGTTTTACACTAGTGTTTAAACTATCAAGCCCTAAAAATGACAAAAAAGCACCATAAACGTCCATACAACCCAAACGCTATATTCCAAGTTATCTGAAAATATTTGGAGCATATCATACGAGGTTTACAGACTACTTTGAGGCTTTTTGGTCATTTCCGAATCCCAAAATGCATCCCTTGATTATTGTATGTTTTCAGTGTATGGAAAAGAGCAGTGTGAACATACTACTTAACATCTCCTTTTGTGTTCCACAGAAGAAAGTGAGTCGTACAGGTTTAGAAAAACATGAGGGTGAGTAAATGACAATTATCACTTTTTAGGTGAACTGCCAGAAAGTCTCTGGTATCGCCATCAAATGCTTTAACGTAAACCGGGCTGCATGATAAAACGCAGAGGAAAAGAAACCCTGAATTCTATATTCAAACCAACCATATGGCTTACCCCTACCTGGTGACTAACCTTTATCTTAAACAAAAACATTTGAAATTCTAATCTACCCTCATACCAACATGTAATGAACTTGAAGCAGTCCATGAATCACAGCATCTCCAATCACAGATCTGATGTGGCCTTGTCCAGATCGCTTACGTACTGCATGTCAAGAAAAGAGAAGATGGGAGGGTAGTGAAAGAGCCAATAAGAAGAAGAGGCTGCAAGGCTCTTATGGTGTAAGGCAGGGGTAGACAGAGAGTCCCGCCACCAGCCGACAGGCCACACTGAACCAGTTTCCATGACAACAGAATTCTAATGACTACACCCCTGGCTTTTGCTTTGAGGGAGAACGATGCTACTGGATCTCAGTGTCACACCTTTTCTTTTTCACAATAAATGTCACAGACTCTCATCATGGGCGTTTGTATCTGACGGTGCTCCTGATAAACAGCAGCACAAGCCCTCTGCAATTTAGCCAGTCAGACGGTCCAAGTCATAATTTTTTGGTCCTGTCCTCCCCCATCCCCCATCCAACCTGCTCATGCTCTCCCCTCTGTGATCTACCCATGTGACCACAGCCAGCTGTTCATTGGCTGGCACCACCAAGGCATCTGTCCAATCAGTGCTGTTCGCTCATATAAACATAAGCAAAGCAGCGTTCTTATGATTCAGAACTGAGTCTTTCTTTCAGTGAGGAGTCAATGGGAAATTACTTCACTGGGTTGTACTACTTTGTTTGTCCTCGTTCTTGTCCTGTACCCACAAGCAGAGGGGATCTTCTCCTTTTGAGAGAACTATTCTGGCTGTAGGACCATCTGCTTTTACCTGCATTACTTCACTCTCGCCTTATTGACACTGTGACCAGCTAACAGTGTTTATGGTTCAGTCCTTTTCGATATACACATGCAATTTCAGCACTGACACACTGGACATGGCTGTGACACGTAAGTACAGCGAGCCTTTGAATGACACAGTAAGCTGAGAATCACATGAGTAGTCGAAGAACTGAATGATTGGGTGATGTTTTGTTATTGTTTTGTTACTGGCAACACTGCATGATCATATAGAGCAGATTAGAATGGAGTTAATGTAAACAAATAATATTAATATTTCTAATAATTATTATTATTATTCTAAAGTATTGTACATTTATTTCATGTTTTTGTAGTGCATCACAGGGCAAGGATACCATTATATAAATAGATCAGGTCTGAGCTTTACTATACAAACCCCTAAATTATATCTGCTTTTGTGTGTGTGTGTGTGTGTGTGTGTGCGCGTTTTGGAATATAAACCAGTACTGTGCCAGGCCAGTACCCAACAGTCACACAAACGCATGCAAGGTCTGAGATAAAGAAAAACTCCATTAAGCCACACAGATAAAGTATTACATAAGAGAAGACTCAAACTGAATAAACTGCAGTGTAGCCAACAGCACTGATAACTCACAAAACACTTCTCAACAGCAAACTAGAATGACAACTGGTGAAGCCTCCAGGCCATCAAGCCAAAGAAAATCACTTCAAGAACAAAGCAAAAAGATGTGTCGATTCAATTATTTGAATGACCATGTCTGCACCTCTGCAGGTGGAGAAAAAACAGAAAAGGTACGCCACCCAAAGTGTCACACTGCAGTTTAACACGATGGACAGTGCCAGGCCTCACAGGCCCTCGCTGAAGTCAGAGATGTTGAGCCAGGATGACCCCAAATCACACCCAATGCTGTAAGTACATCCTCTCACAGTCTAGAAACCACACATTCAGACTTCAGAAATAAAGCAATACACTGCTGGTTTTGACTGTCCTGTCAGACATCAGTTTCTTGTTTAGTTCTTAATTAATTTTCCTTAATGCATCTTATGGTGAGAGCTGGCCATTAACTTATGGACTAGCCACCATATTCCAAAAACTTTTTTTCCATTCCATTGTGATCTTTAAAAATATTTTTTCTGTAAAACACCACTCTGCTTCATGCTGCTTTTCGATTTTATCAAACGCTGTGCCGCATTAAAAGAGATTCAACTTTTAAAGTCAGCGTGAAACGGAAGATGCAATGGTCTTCCTTATTGTGACGTACAGTGGGTACGGAAAGTATTCAGACCCCCTTAAATTTTTCACTCTTTGTTATATTGCAGCCATTTGCTAAAATCATTTTATGGACTAGCCACCATATTCCAAAAACTTTTTTTCCATTCCATTGTGATCTTTAAAAATATTTTTTCTGTAAAACACCACTCTGCTTCATGCTGCTTTTCATTTTTATCAAACGCTGTGCCGCATTAAAAGAGATTCAACTTTTAAAGTCAGCGTGAAACGGAAGATGCAATGGTCTGCTGCACGATTAATCAAAAAACGGAAATCGTGATATGGCTCAGTGCGATTATCAAAACGCAAAGGCTGCAATTTAATGAAATGGATGCGCTGCATGCTTCAGAGTGAAGCGCAGCACTGTGTTCTTACACATGAGCGGCTCATGATCTGCAGGTGTTTCCAGTGTCTCGGAACAGCTCGGTTCATAGTAAATGCAGAGATGGAGTTTGTGTGGAGCAACACCTGCTCTGAGTTTCAGTTGCCTAAATATGCATTTGGGAACATATAAGGTGCCAACCATCCTCCCATACATGTAATAAGAAGTGCTTAACAAAAGAGCTTTAAGGGCTTCAGGCAGTTTTCTGTGAAAACATTTTTGATGGTTTTTAAAACTTGAAAATAAAGAAAGAGATTAAGACATAAATATTATTGTAATTTTACAGCTGTAATATAAAAAAATATATATATTTTTATTAATAATAATAATAATAATAATAATAATGTATTATTATTCTCACAATTCTCAGAATTGTAAGAAAAGTCAGAATGAGATGAAAAGTCACAACTATATGTATTATCATTATTATTTTACAGTCATATTGATATTCAAGCCAAATTGTGCAGCCCTTACACCCCCCCCCCCCCAAATTATGCAGCCCTATGTATAGTATGAAACGTATGGAAGCCCATTTTTGCAACAAATAAATACATAAACAAATAAATAAATTTAAGTGTGACTTTTTAATCTCACAACTTTGACTTTTTCCTCATAATTCTAAGTTTCTTTCACAATTCCAAGAATAAAAGTCAGAATTGTGAGATATAAACTCGCAATTGCAAGAAAAAAAGTCAAGAATGTGAGAACTTAAGTCACAATGACCTTTTAACATTTTTTTTTATTCTGATGTGGGAGAAAAATTTTTTAGATGTAAACTGAACTCAGTTCAGAGAAAAAAAATCTGAATTCTGAGTTTGTCTCACACTCTTGGAAACAAAAACAGAATTGTGAGATATAAACTCAGAATTGTGAAATCATGAGTAAAATAATAAAAAAAAGATGTGCACACTGCACAGATAAATAATTTATAATAAGCACTGCAATATTCCATAAAAATACAAATTGTCAATTTGATCTCATGGTGACTTTAAAATTTTGTTTTAAAACCTTGGTTTCTTTTTTCATTCCGCTGCTTCTCACATTTTTAAAAGAAAGTCTTAATGATTGCATGAAGAGCCACTGGTTTGTTGCTGGTTCAAGGTAATGTGTCTGATTTCAATTTCCAAAGAGAACTACGAGAAAAGCTCCAGCCAGAGGTGATCGAGCTGATTAAACAGCAGAGGTTGAACCGCCTGTGTGAGGGCACATGCTTCAGGAAGATCAGTGCTCGTCGCAGACAAGGTCAGTTACTCATTCAAAATCAGGATACAATCACATGTGCACAGGTAAACGTATTCATGCATCACAGATTCAGAAAAACCATTTGATGTATCTGAACACAGATGCATAGATGTAATGTTTAGCTACCACTAACAAAAACATCACATCGAATTCATTGATATCGGATATATATATATATATATAAGTTAAAGGAAGATACAGTACTTGAACTCTTGCTATTAAGCCTAATGTCTATTCATATTATGCACATTTTTTTATAATCTACTCAAATATAGGGCATCACAGTCTATAGGTTCCCCTGAGTATACTTTATCCTAATGCTTGGTCTGTTTGATATTGCATTACATTAAAACACAACTTAAAGATATCATTATATTAAAAGGATAATCTCATTCAGTATGTGGGACTCGCAATGCAAATGCTCTCTCTCTCTCTCTAAAAAAAAAAAAGAAAAAAAAAGAAATCTGTATTATTATTGTGCCCTCTTTATTTCTTCATGTTTATTTCCAAACCTACTGATATGAGATCTTCATCAAGTATTCAGCATGAAAGGGCAGCCAGTTAGTCACAAGCACAGACTCAATGAAGCATTTAATCAAAAGTGATTTTCTCAGGTCACTGCTGCTTTAATTAAAATCTGATTTTCATTTACAGTGCTGTTGACGTGCTAGTGGAAAAAAAAATACCTATAAAATCTAATTGGAATGGATCATTATGAGGACAGTAAAAAGCAAGTTGTAAGAAATCAGCCAAACAATAACTTGCACAGTACATAACATGCATATTCTTATCTGTATCCATCTCCCATCATCTCCTCTAGACAAATTCTGGTATTGCCGTCTATCACCAAATCACAAAGTGTTACACTATGGAGATATAGAGGAATTCTCACAAGGACAAATATCACACGACTCTCTCCAGGAGAAAGGTGAGCAACACACTTCTTGATTATAATTGACATAGTTGTAAATGAAAATTACTGTCTTTTTTTTTTTATCTATAATGACTTGTATTATTCATCACGTTGATTGTTGACATCATATTGACCCACAAGTTTGAGTCAGACTAGCGCTAAACATGCTCATTTTAGACAATCATAGTAAGATAGAATATAATTTCTACTGTTCTAAATTTTCTAACTCTACATAACATTTCTTCTACGTCCAGTGACAGTAGCAGATATCAAAGCAGTGGTTATGGGTAAAGACTGCCCACACATGAGGGAGAAAGGAGCACTTAAGAATAAGGTAAGAATTAATTATTGCAATAGGCAACTAATCTCACCAGACAGGACAGGACTAGGCATAGTGGATCCAAACTCAGAGCACACAAGGCAGGCTGATTTTACTGAAGAAGAGAGACAAATTACAGGCTTCAACTCAAGATGATAACTAGTTAAAAAAACTATAGGCAGAACAATGCAAGAGTACAATGGTGGCTTCAGACACATCAACATCTGAAAACAATTAGAAATTAATCCAACAATGCCAATTAAATCCAAATGACGCCATCTAGTGGTTAGATGTGGATAAAGGACTAATGGAGTAAACAAGGTAAAAACGTGTTCTATATGAATGGCCCCTTACTCTCTTATTGACCATCCATGTCAAAAGGTGTCTTTCTGGACTTTCAAAAAAGAAAAATATATTGTTTATAGTTAAAGCTGAGTTAGCTATTGTTTAAAGTCAAAGCAAACAGTAGGCATAATGACATGAGATAACAATCTCTTGTAGGTAGGCTAGGTTATATTTGCACACACAACACACACAGACACACACACTAGGGTACCTTCAACGTAACGTATGACTAAAGTGCTGTGGATGCATTATGTGTGGATGTTTATGTATTGATGACAAACCTGCCATATTCAGGGCATTAGAAGAGCCAGCCGACACACCTACTGTATATAGGCTAATAATAATAATTAAAAAAAAGTTACGGCCAATGAAATTTACCTGAATTGTTTGATTTTTCAGTTTGCTTCATTGCAATACAAAAAAAAAAAAACGAACAAATGACTCATATGAATAGGTTCTTTTCATTGAATCAAAAGGACACAACCCACCTAACTACTATGTTGTTGAATTCTCGAATAAATCGCCTAAATAATGAACCGGTTTTTTTAATGAAAAGTTCAAAAAGATGATTAACGCGTTTGAATTAGTCTGACGAATGCTTAACTGAGCAGAGCGGTGAATAAATCAACACACTTTATTTTCGAGATGGTCCTCACTGCAGAACATAAGATCCAGGGGGCGTGGTTGGATCCAGATCCAACTCCTCCCACCGTACATATACCTAAACCTACCCGTCTCCACCCCTGATCCCTAAACCCACCCATCTCCACCCCCTAGATGTGGATCCAACCCCTTTGTTCTGCAGTGAGGGGCTACTGTTATTTTCAGGAACGTCTGCTGTCCTTTTTGAAATGATGCACGTTTTTGTGTCATTATTATTCATGTGAAAGATTTACATTTGCCTATAAATTTGTAATAATTGAAGGGACATTCTTCTCTTAAATCTTATTTTTATAACTTGATCAGTATCAGCATTTCACAGCTCTACGTTGTCCTTGTTGGAAACTGAGGAGGGTGTAGTGGTGACAGAAGCCATCTGTTGTGCAAAGGCACCTGTAGTAAAGTACAAATGGAAGTTGTGGGAGAGGAAGCAAGGTCAGGTACTCAGGGCATGCAGATTATTCTTCCTCTGCTTTTCAGGAGCTGCTGGAGCTGTCTTTTTCCATTCTTCATAACTCTGATGAATATCTGAACTTCATTGCTCCGGACAAGCATAAAGTGAGTATATCACAGCATACAAGGCGAGGACAGTCGACATTTTACATCGACAGTCGACAGGACATTTTACATTACATATAAAATGTATTTTTGGTCTCGTGGAAAGATAAAGAACCTTTGTTTTTCATAAGATAATATTACCTAATCATGTAGACATCAAAGCCATTATTAAAAGTATTTTTAATACTCTGATATATCACTCAAGCGCAACTTGAATTCATGCATAATCCTTAATAATACTCTATTATATACACCATTTTTTCACTAGTACTGCATTTGGACTGATGGCTTGAATGCTCTTTTGGGAAAAGAGATGACAAGTGAGCTCACAAAATCAGATATGGACACTCTGGTTACTATTGAGCTGAAACTTCGCCTCTTGGACCTCGAAAGCATTCAGATTCCTGACGTCCCGCCTCCTGTTCCCAAAGAGCCCAGCACTTATGACTTCGTTTACGATTTTAGCCAAAAGCACACTTGAGACTGGAATAAAGTCCTTACTCGTGCTGATAATCAGCTGTAAAGAGTGCTCACTTTTTCTCTTTTTGTTATTTGTGTTTCCTCACTTTCCTCTCGTATAGACAGAACAATGTTCAAATCATACATTTTCCTCTAGATTGTGACTATGATGTGATGCTTAGTTTTCTATTTCATTGAAATGCCTCTCATGACTTTACTGTTCTGCAAAGAGGAAAAACTCACAGTAACATTCTTTTCAGTCATCAGTTTTAATGAACATTCAACTTGGTATCATGCAACCCTTTTGTGTAAGTAAAGTGCATATCTACCTAAAATACTGAGCATGGATTAAAATAAAATTCAGAAGCTACATTAAATCATGAACACATACACAGAACTCACATGACTGTTTTAAATAAATGTGCAAGTCATTGGACAGAAGGATGATTTCAGAGTAATCAAGTCAACTAAATCATACTCGACATCATTAAAGTGCCACTTAATAAATTATTTCTAATTATTTCCAATGAACACAAATTATTTTAGCCTTTAAGATAAAAAGGCCTTTGGTTTGCTTAGTTGGATGCCCTTTCTCTTCCAAAACATAATGACAACCACACTGCCTTCCTGTTCCCCAATATATAGTTTGCATCATATTATATTCTGAGTTGCTCAAAAACTCCACACTAGTATCATTCATACTTGTACAATTCTCGTACAATTCTTGGTCTTATCAATGGTCCTTAAAACAAAACATTTAACCTTTATGCTGTGCTGAAAATCCTTTATCTAATTTAGAGTTCCTGACCAGCCTTTTTCTTTTTTACAAATGGTTATACCTTGTGTGAGAAAGTATCTCATTCCAATGAGATAACCTTAACTAGCATTTTCAGGAAAAAGAAAAAACCTCCCTAGGTCAAAACGACCAGAACACAACATGAGGAATAGACATCCAAAACACTTCGGACACATCCTAGTGCATTTTATCTACCCAAAGAGACCATTAAGCTTATCATAGTTGCAACACATTAATTCCAGTATTATCTGTTACTATAAAACTATCAGCTTGAAGGAATATTGCTTTTAAAGTTCACTCATGTATTATCATAAATTGTTTGTTTTCACTGACATCATATACTATTAAAATATTTAGTGTTACAAAATTATAGGACATTGTAAAATCAAGTCATAAGTTAACTAAAACTATAAGTTTCACTCCACCCAAGTGGAATGTAAAATAATTACATGATTTTAAAACTTTAGTTTAAAACCTTTTAAATTGAAGCATGGCATGTCACCGCAGAACAATGTTGGCGCTAATTGACATTTTAAAGATCAACAACCCAAATACAATTAGCATGTCTAGTCTTTCATTTGTTTGTTGGAAAAAGACAATATCTGAAATGATATGCCCTATCCAAGTCAAATATTTATTTATATTCACTATTTAAGGTCACATATCAGAGCTTTCTGATATACAGTTCCAATGAGCAGCTTTCCTCCATATGGGGTTGCCACTGAAGAAGCAATGATCACACTGCCGTCATCTGAATATACCCGAGTCACCTGGGGCTTTTCAGACAGGATGTTCTCAATCCTGATAACCTACAGGAGAACAAGGAATTATTGATTTGTACAGTTTTACAACTGAGAGCAAACAGTAAATAATAAAGAAAAAATATGAATATCAAATTGCCAATAAATACAATGATCACATTCTTTCCTAAATATCTATTTGCTGCAAAACACGCACACACCTCAGAGCCTGGCGGATCATTCGGATCACTAAGCATGAATTTGAGACCATTTGGGTGGCAGCCCAGCCACAGATCTCCAGATTCACGTTCCACCTCAATGTTGTCACACAGTGACCCCACATCAACCTCCTGGGTAGGAAAAATTAACATGCAGTTACATTAACAATATTAACAAATCAGCAGTGTGTTCTCCTAAAAAAACTGTCATAATGTGCTTTCATGGTTGTTTAAAGCTAACATCCAATAAAGCTAAAACTCAAATGTTCAATATGGGATACAAATATCAAGTTTTGTGTTTACCTTTACATGAGACAATACAGTGTTTTTCTGTATTTCCAAGACACTAATTTTGTGCTTCAGGATATTTGACACATACAAATGCCTGAAATAAATTAAGTTACTTGTATTAACAACACAAGAGGACATGAGAAATGCACTGATAATATTACATTACACTATGCTTTCATCAATAAAAATTTGTGACTTTTTCTGAAACTTGCCTTTTATCGGGGGAGATATTTATGCCGTTGGCAGATGGAAAGCCCCCTGCCACAACCTGCACAGTCTGAGGGCTGTAGTAAACAATGTCACACCAGGACAAAGACAGAAGTGGCTCCATAACCTTGAGAATCTCATTAGTGAAGTAATGGTCATTGGTGGCATAAAAGCTTTCGGTCCCCACAGCTACTATATCATTTACACTAACAAATGCAAATAAATAAACAATAAACAATTTAATTTCTGATTAGGTTTAAGGTTGCAAAAACATTGGGCCTCATTCATGAAACACAAGCAGAACGAAGTTTTGTGTAAATCATTCGTAAAGCTGTTCTGACGTAAATTTTGGGATTCATGAAAGTGTTCGTATTTTACAAATGTTAGTTGGTACACAAAGAATGTACACCTCCTCCCAGCCCCGCGTAAATGGGTTGCAAATCATCTGAACGTTTTGCTCATTGATGGTAATGCAGGTTTATAAAAATGATTTACCTTATATAATCACGTATTTATCACGCAGCATTTTGATAAAATAATATACAGTAATTATACACGGTATACTGTGTTTTCCTTTTTACTATTAGGCCTATTATGAACAGCAGTAATATAATCTGCAAATGTAACACTTATATCAAATAATTAATTTGCTACTTTTGTTAGGGATGTACCAATTAGTCTCTTAATTATTACGGAAATGGTTTTCTATAAAATGGCCAGAATGAGGCATAACAATAAACATTTCCTATGGCTGATATAGCGCTATTGCTAGATTTGGCAGAAACTTGCAGAGATAATGACTGGTTGACTAACAGATGAAACTGCATTAACAGCATCTGTAATGTGCAGCCAAGCTTCCTTTTTTTAGGACCTGATACTCCACTATGTTCGCGTAAAAATAAAATGCTGCATTTTGAATGTACTTCCGATAACAAAACTTCCATTTCTGCATCTGAGAAATTTTTCTTTTTCATTCGCTTTTGAGAGGACATGTTGAAATCCTTATTTTTGTTTCGGGAAGGTCTGTTTTACGAGCAAATTACTCAATTTACTCATATAGTTTCATGAATGAGGCCCATTGTGTTTAAAGAAGCACATACTTGTGCAGGAGTTCATGCCTGATGGTCCTGATGTATTGAAGGGCATTTTCATCCTCAACAAATCGGAAAATCTCCACTTGGCTTTTGCCTTGAGGATGATTAACAACAAACAGATATATGGCTCCATCTGTAGAGAGAAAATAATTCATAAACGATTAGACTTAAATCAAAGGTATACCTATAGGGTTTAAAAGTGAAGATCAAATGGACAAATTGTTAAACGTTTTTTGACCACTAGGTGGCTAGTTTTCCTTACTATGTAGTTTTAACATTTCACAAAATAAACTATTTGTGTAGGTATTGTACAGTACATTATACAAAATCCATTCATACATTCAAAAGTGTCTACATTGCATAGTGTACATAATTAAATATATATGAGGAATCAACTAAACTGCATGCAACCCAGATTAACGCTAGAAATGTATTTATTTAATAAAAATGGCAAACCTTTTACATCTGCGTACACACTGATTCCATGTGGATTAAAAGAGCCTTTGTCAAACTGACCCTTGATGTTCAGTGCTTTAATTTTCAGATCAGAATCCAACAGATTCAGGGAGTAGATCTTTCCAGGGTCATCGGAATAGGACGGTAAGCCTGGATACTTCAAGCCCTGTGTTTAATTCATCATAATTCATTGGAACAGCGTCTATTTACAGCAAGTTCAAAAGGCTCTTTGCACTCACTCTGTCCACCACTGCTCAGACAATTTACCCTTAATATCACTTCTATTTACACTTTGTATGAATACAATAAGATTCTGTATTGATTTACAATTGATGAAAACAGTAAGTATCTACCAATATTTACACTATTATACTTAGTATAATTAGCTTATTATGCAATTTAACAGCTGAACAGACATCATTAGCATTGATTCAACTCTAGCCTCATGCTGCACGTTGGTAATAGAATTTGAATATATCCAGGAATATACCCACACCTTTTGATTAATAATGAAGTATTGTCTGATTAACTAATCAAAATGCTTAGTGATAGATTCATGACATACAGTGCTCAGAAAAGCCAATCCATCGTCAAGTATGGTGATATCTTCAGCCCCATACTCTGTTGAAAACACGGAAATAACCTCAAAGTGTTAGAAACATATAAACACACTACATTTTAAACAGACCAGCAAATAACAGATAAGCATATACAGTGTGTCTAAAGTGTATATAACTTACCTATGCCCTCTATCATGTGACAGTTAGGAAGGTAGTTTTGTGTTAGTTCTCTGGAGGAAAGTGATAAATGCCTGTGGAAAGGATTACAATTAAACAAATTTAAACATTTATTATCTTTCGCAACAAAAAAAAGTAACGTTAGCAGCAAAGGTCAGAACAGCGTTTAGACAAAGAAAGCCTTTATTGCAATTGAAAAGCTTGACATGCAAAGAAGCAATCGTTATATAAACGCGATTGGAAATATCGACCAACCTAAGTGCAACGAGCCTTTCTCCGATGAAAGCTGCCAGAGAAATAACAGCCAACGAGAGTATCGCTAACTTGCCCATAATGTCTGAAACCCTCGTAAACAACATTAACCCTTATCAGTGTTGTCAGGGTTGCCAGGTCTGCGAAATCAAACCAGCCCGATTTCTAATCAAAACTAGCCCAATCGCGTTTCCCCCTTTGTCGGTCGTGCCTTCGGTCGAAATCGCGTTCCGAGGAGATCGCTTTAACCTGCGGTAACAGTGTAAAAGTACCCCGATTGCGCGGGTAAATCACGGACTTGGCAACACCGTGCCATATCCGCCTTGGACTTAACCCAGAAGTAGCGTGCCTGTACCTCTAGATGGGAAGTCGCGTATTTTTTTACAGAATGCATTGCTATTTTTCTGATGTTTTTGGTGTTTGGCCAATATACAGATGGCAGTATTTGCGTTATATTACGTTTTGAGAGTGTCAACAGTGTGTTATTCATGATGGATCAGCAGTTACACTAGCTGTCAATCACTGGCATTGCAAAATCTTGACAAAATATCTAGACTTGGGCTTGGAAAATTGTTTTTGAAAAGAGAAAACTTAAAATTAAATCATATAGCTTTTTAT